ACACACACACACACACACACACATATATATATATATATATATATATATATATATATATATATATATATATATATGAATCCAAACGTTATTTTTAGTGAATACCTGTATTTGATTTAGAACATTCCGTTTTGTCTACTGGCCTGCGCATTCGAGAAAACTTAAAGGGAATGTACACTTCGACTTGATTAGAACCTGCCTCCTCCTTTGTAGGAAGAACCACCGCCTTGTCTGGCGTGTTGCACATTGCATATTTGTTTGTTGGTTGAGATGGTAATGCGTTTGTCTCCTAAGCCAACTACTATTGTTAGAATACAAAGACCAGTACGTGCAATGGAATATCAAAGTCAAAACTCGCAGTTACGTTTTGACAATCACTTTAATCTCATATCAACGTATTTTTGTGTTATTTCCTTTATTAACAGGTTCAGTTTAAAATTATTCAAAGTCAGAATTTAATTTGGAAATACACTGTCGGACTTTATATGAATCAGGTTTCACAATAAAATTGGTATCAGCCAACCGATGTTGGTGGAATGTTTACAATATAGTTATATAATAAATGAAGTATGTGAATCTTAGCTTACTTTTATTAGAAATACTTAAAATAACTTAATTGATGCTGTGAGATATGATGCAACTCAAGGTTTGTTCATTTCTCCCTTTTCTCTATATATCACAAACTCGCAAAACTGATAGCCACTATGCAATATTGATTCTATATCCACATTGTATATATCTATATAAACGCTCTATCTCCTTTCCTCTTATATATAAGATTGCCATTGGACATAAGCTCAGATAACATAAAGTTACTGAGTGATGGCCGACACAATTTTGGGAATTGTAAAAAAAAAGTTAAGCAGTAGTAAAAGAACAAATGAAAATATGAACTAAAGATACTTAAAAAAATATCACAAAATAGATTTAATGAAAAGATTAATAAGCAAAAAAAGCGGATTGACCAGCAGGAAATATGAAAAGGCTTGTGTTGTAAATGTGAACTGAAAAGATGCAGAATATTAACATTAGCTAAAGACATGAAAGCAAACTTTAAATATCACAAAGAAAAGTTGGGCAAAGAAATACATAAAGACTAATTTCTCAACAATAATTTTAATGATTATTGTAGAGCTACGTTGGAAACGAATGACATGATAGCTAGGCTAGACCTAGAGTTCATCCAAATAGTCAACCAACAAAGAGTAAGTAGGTGGAATAAAGTTTTAGAGACGTTTTTTTGAGTCCCTATCAAGAAGCTTTACGCTAAAGACTATATTCATGCACGACAATGTAAAGTTGACTCTTAAAGTTTTTACCAAAAAGGGTTTCAGTGATATCAAATTAATGGAACACTCCAGCCTCTGCAAATATTAATCCAATATAAACTTGTCCATTTATGAAAATTGAAAACAATATTCAATAATCTCTGAGAAGCAATAAAAAGAGCTGCATGGAATATTGAAATTGAAACAGTCGAAAAGACTGATCGGAATGGAAGACTCATGAAGGTTGTAAATATAAAAAAATCTCATATTACGATGCAAAATTATAATTTATACAAATATATGGGATACTACTTTGTACTTGTGTCTAACCAAGATAAACTTAATATATGTGGTAAAATCGACTTAATGAATCGAAAGTAAAAAATAAAACTTAAAAATATAAAGTACATTTTTTTTTACAGGCTGTCTGACTTGATCTTTATAATCTCTTTTTTTGTTTTCCTCGAGTGAACGAAATCTGCAAACATTAAAAACGTTCTTTTTAAGCATATAGCATATTTTTTTTATTGAGAGAGCAGCATTCCAACAAAGTGATGTGGGGGTACAAATATACGCAGCTCAATATATCTATCATGATACTCAGTCTGATAAGGGTACCAGACAAATGTATCACAGCCAATCACATGCCCAACTGGTTACGGTCAAGCAACTAGCCAGGAAATATGTGGTACTGAACGAAATATTTTCTTTAGCCTATCTTAATTCACCAAAACAAGTCATGTACATGTTAACACTTCCAAAGACCAGAAGCTGCTGCTGCTATTTTACATTTTTTTTATAACATTCAAACGACGTTAATTACGTAACGTTCCCTTTTGGGAAATTTGAGCTTTGTCTTTCACACTCCATCGATGTTCGATATACCTTCCATTTGTTCCGTTCTTGGCCAATATAATTCAAAGGGAAAATAACATTGAAACTTAAAAATAAAATGTTAATCTATCTAGTGTAATTGTTCACATACAAAACTCGCAAACATTTGTTTCTCGTGAACATTTATTCAAATTCTGGTTATATTGTCATTCAGACTATGCAACCTTTTCTCCATGCCAACAGTAACAAATCACGTGATATTTTTGAAAAAAATCTATCATTCTGTTTTCTCGGAAGGAATGTTACCAATAATTCCAGTTTATAAAGAATACAATGAATTATTAGTAGTTTTAAAGCTGACATTTCACAGCTTATTCACCAAGCTCGAACAATTTTCGCTCTTTTGTATCAGTGGCCATTAAACGAACGTTGAGCACTTCAATTATCTAAGTAATAAAAACCATACTTCTGTACATCTGAACATATTATTCGCTTGTCTGTACCTATCTCTGTACCTTGAATAACGGTAAAGCTTCAAATACTTAAAACAGAAACTCGTAGAAAACAGATCCCACTGAAAAGTGAGAAAAGTCTATACTTAAGTAAAATTTAACTTTTCTTAAAGCAGAACGACAAAGGAACCTGTTTTAAGAAGTGTAATAAATAATGTAAATTTAAATTATTATATTTCAAATTTTGTTAATTAAATTCTCTATTACTTCGTTTCCTACATGACCCTTAAAGTAGAAAAATAAGCGCCAATTTTACTGAATTTAAATAAGAAAAATGCAATTCAAATGTGAAAATCAAACGGTAAAAATTTTATGAAGGCTTCTAGGGCGACGATTCTCTGTTGAAATGCTGCTTTTTGTGGCTCACAGTAATTTCAATAAATAAATAGTGTTGTATTTTTAATTTTTTTTTACAAGCGATCTGATTTGGTCTTCATAACTTATCATAAAATGTAATCTTGTATGATTTGCAATGTTATTGCTTTTTACCTTAGAAAATATGTTCTTGTTCGTTTGGATATTTTTTTATCTGGGTAACATTCAAAATTTATTTATATCTAAAAACTAGGCACTGGTTTCTGATAATAGAAAATTGTAATTTTAAAAATTAAGATATGAAAAAAATTCATTTCTTCTCTATATTGTTGTAGGTAATGTAATCAAGTGCACAATACATAAAAAATGTCACTGAAAGCGATAATCATTTTTTAATAATCATTAGTTTCTTTATTGTATACAATTGTTACATCTTCCTATTAGGATGAGAAAAGAATAATTCCTGCAGATACGATTTTTTAAATCAGACACTGCAATGGTTCAACTGCACAGTACTTTACATAAATTAGAAAAGTGATACAAATAAATGAAGTCAATTAAAACAGTAAATTTCCTCATTTACTTGCATGATTCAGGGGGAAAATATTTATTTTGTTATTACGTGTCGGTGTATCAGAATCAGATTTTTTATGCACTGCAAATTATGATGCCATGCAAATCGATTTTTTTCTTTAAACGTCATAACTCCGCCTCTGAATAACGCAGCAAGTTTTGTAAAAATATTGCGTAATCTGACTTCTTTAGAATAGATAACTTTTCATAGAGATTTGAGTTTTTAACGAAAAGCATTTGATGCTTTTCTGTCCATCGTCAATTTACTCGATTAGTTATTGTAGAGATTTTATATGAACGTACCACAGCTACTGAAGGCCGTGTTGGAATCGACCTTGTTTATCACATACCAAGATAAATTAAGACTAAAAGTCCTTACCAAATGACCTGCGGCACTCCTGTATATCGCGTATGTAGCGTAAATGTGTTATTGTTCATTTGCTATTTCAAAAGATGAGCAACAGAAAAACATAGTCGATTATTTATAAATAAATTAAACGTAGGGAAAGTTGTGAAACTCTCAGACTTGCTGGCTCCCGTCAATTTTCATTCATGCATTTATTATAAAATAGATCATAATGACTGTCCGTTTTATCGTCGCTTTGAGTCAACCAAATTCAGACACTGTTGTTGTTGTTGTTGTTGTTGTTGTTCTCCCCCCCTCTAAATGGACAGATCATGACTGTCCAAAACTTCCTATCCTTTGTGGCCCTCAGCAATTTTTCTCTAACTTTTCTATCCCCTCTCTTCTGCTATCCATTCACATAAGTTTGTTAGGTAGGTGGCCCGCTGCCCTTCCCCTATATCTCTTGCCCTCAATGTGCCCATAGGGTTGTTCTCCAATTTCTCTTTCCTCACATTATATGTCCAATGAAGGTCAGATGTTTCTCCCTGATTCTGAGCGTAATTGTTGCTAAGACTTCCTAGTTGCTTACTCGCTTCGTCCATGGAATTCTCGGTATCCTTCTGTGGAACATTTCTGCTGTCGCCTCTAGTTTTTTGCTAATCCATAGAGGAGATTGTTCAGCATTCGCTGCCATATAAGAGGATGGATATCACATAGCAATACAGCACCTATTTTTTTTTTTTTTTGCTTCTAATGCTTTTTTCTGTTTCTCAGTACTTTGCTTAGCTTTTGGAATTCCTCTTTCGATAATCCAATGCGTGTTCGGATTTCGGTGTTAAAATCGTTCTCAGATATTTAAACTTCTATACTTGATGTTGACATCTCCAATTTGTAACTAGCGGGGTTTTCCTCTTGCTGATGACGACCATACTTTCTGTCGTCTTGCAATTGGTGGTTAATCCTTTTCCCCTCTTTCTTTTACTACATCTCTAGAAAATATTGAAGTTTTCTTTTTGTATCATCACCCATCAACACAATGTCATCTGCGTACTGATAAGCAACGGGCGCCCTATCCGTGTTTGAACATTATTCTGTTGTTTTTTTTTTTTTTTTTTTGGGGGGCTGTGGGTGGGTCTCAACGGAATAACTTTCAAGCTTTCTCTCTCTTCTCTTTCTGTTTATCGCTTTCTTTCCTTCTTATTTTTCTCTTCGATTTTTCAGTTACTCCCTTATTCTTCTATTCCTATTTCCTTTGCCCTTCCAATTTATCTCTATTATTTTCTTCTATTTTTCTAATCTACTTTCTTGTATCTCTGTTCCTATCTCTTTTTTCTTCTCAATTATGATATATCTCACTTTTTCTTGTCTTTTCTTAACAATACTTCTGCTACTATTTCTTCTGCCTTGCTTTCTTTTGCCTTCAGATTTTTTTTCATCTATTCCTTTTGTTATCCTCTCATTTTTCTCTTTTCCCTTTACCTCTTTCCATTTTCATTTTTTTTCTGTTCCTTTCTCTCTCTCTCTTTCTCAACCCCAACTTCGTCTATTTCGCATAAGGTTTTTTTTTTTTTTTTTAAAAACAATTTTATCTTTATGATGGTCAGAGATTTTATAAGGACGACAGGCGGAAATGTCGGACCGAAAATCCCTTTGGCGTCTTCTGAGGTTTCCCTTTCTTTAACCTTTGTTTCCTGAGCGGTTAGAAATTCTCACGCTTAACAACTCGCTGCTATATGAATGTCGGAAGAAGGCGTTGACAAGTATTTCAATTTAGCTTAATTTTTACTTCTAAAACTCTACGTTTTTTGTTTTCTTACTTTTTTAGTCACATGAAAAAGTATCTTACAATTCTATTACAACGTTAGCCATGAACATTTATATATAATAATAATTACAATAAGAACAAAGATATTGCCAATTGCATGGGAATAGCAACACTTGAAACGATTAAAATGCGTGGATGCCGATTGTGTGATGAAAAGAGGCTGGACAAATTCATATGAACTGCCAAGAAAAAGAGTTTGAATGTGAACAGATATGCAATGGTCACTTCATCTTCAAAATTTTATGACTAATTGACTGGAAAGAGTATATTTTCTCCTCACTATTCGACTTAGGGATTGAACTTCAGCCATGTAACTCGATCTGTTCAACCGACAATTTTATTCATGAGGTGAAAGGTTATGTGGAACAAGCGACATCACGAAGAAGATTTAATTGATATAATATATCATCTAGCATAGACTGTGGAATGAGAACAATCTATCGTGGCGGATTGAATAGTGTTTGGTTTGAAATTTCCCGACAATAAGACACTGTGGCTTATAACAAATAAGATGAAGACACAATTTGGCTGTTCTTTAATTTAGTAGAATTACAGATTAGAACAATAGTCACTCAAAAAGAGTTAAAATCTTAGTTTCAATCTCATGTGATCCTTGCTCAAGTGCCTCTGGAGAAAGTATGGACCCAATCCTCTGTGAATATTATCTCATTGGCAATTATTGTGATGCAACTATTATCATGTCGGGCCATGAGAAGGTGATAGCAAATATTCATTAATATACATGCAAGTTTCACCTTAAAATACACATTAATTTAATATTTTTACGTTTACCTATGAAATGCATCGTAAATGATGTACGATAGAAATAACTTACCAAAATTTATGCATATAATAATAATAATAATAATAATAGAGTTCTTGTTACTTTAAACCCTATATTTTAGTATATATATATAATCAGAGTTTACATAATTACATTAATTTTCAATTATATTTACACTTAGTATATTTCACAAAAATATTTCAATGTCAAAAAAGGCAATTCAAATATGACGTGCTTGAGTTATACAACACAGGCAACATTGAAAATAAGGCAAGTTAAAAGTTGATGCACTTGATTGTGTATCATTTTGATGCCGTGACAGCTGTCACATGATTCTTGTAATTCCAACCAATTTTTCGCCAAATTCAAGAGGTAGTTTTGAACATTATTCCTTGAAAAATATTATTAAATGTATCAGTTCCTTTTTCAGGGTGAATCCTGTACTTCAAATTCTTTTGGATATTTTCTATGGCATTGAGGTCAGAATGTCTTGATGGCTACACTAGAACTTTATTTTTCTTCTGATCTAGCCAACACAACATTAATTTTGTACTTTGACCAAAGTTCAAACATTTTTTTGAGACTTTAAGTTTTCTCTAGAATTTTCACATCATTTCATTATTCTTTCATCCTGATGAAGCAAGACAATGCCATTAGCAGTTAAAACACTCTCACAGCATGATCCTGCTACCACCATGTTTTACTCTTGGAATGGTATTCTTTGGATTAAAGATTTCTCCACGTTTTAGGGAATACATACTTCTGTACTGCATAGTCAGTTCTAATAAAATTTTGTCCGATCACATCACACTTTTTCAAAAGTTTTGATATTTGTTAAAGTTAACATGTGCAATCTTTAAGTAAGTTTCATGTAACTAGCAAGAAATAGTGTTTTCATGGCATGGCAACTCTTTAGGTCATTTGTGTGTACTAGACACTGAGACATTCATATTTTTTTATCAATTCTATGACTGCACTCTCTATATATGGTCAAATTATGCTGAAGACATCTATTCCCGTTCAACCACCTAAGTTAAGCACCGTCGAAGCTCGTCAGTACTTAAGTTGAGGACCGCTTGGGAACACCCAGTTCAGTAAGCAATAGCATGTTTCATCGAAATATAAATCGAGCATTAATGACCCCATCAGGTTTGCCATCAGACTATTCGGATAGTATGCGGCACAGTCTCCAATTAATTTATATCTCTTTGTCATTGTATCGAGTCTGTCTGATGCTGAGCTTCAATATAGTATTGCGCAAGTTATGCATGACTACAAACAATCGCGTGTTGTATCCGCGGATTTCCAGAGGTTGAATAGAGAAACCACCACATACGCCGCGGCATGTTTGGGGGCTCACCTCGTGCAGCAAATAGGTAGCCTTCGTATATAATATGCACGAAGAGTACTAAAAAGTTTTCGGTTCAACCCACTTTCTCAAATTGGACAAAACAATAGTTTTTTTTTTTAGTTTTTTTTTTCCTGGAATGGCTTTTTCGACACCACTTCGTATATATAATGTCTGTTGTGTATGTGAAGGAAATTTTTCCGTCCTTCAAATGCTTTCTATCATAATTTATCCGGTCAGTCCTCGAAAAGAAAAATCATTCAGAAAATAACGACCAGATGTTGAGACATCTTCCGCATTTTTTCTTCCCCCCTTAGCGTTTTAACGAAATTCTATGAAATAATCTACAAGCTCACAATAACTTGAAGAGAACTGCCTCTCAATTCTACTCCATTTGCTTGAAGAGAACTACCTCTCAATTCTACTCCATTTAGTTCTTTATCGTCTTATCCGTGTCACACGGCTTGTCATTAGGATGTTTGTCTCTAGGCAAATCGGAATAACCTTTTGACGCAGTTGAATGGTAACAAACACTTGTCGGTCTTGTCCGTAAGAGCTGGAAAAAAAAGATAATCTTGTTCATTTTTTAACTTGATATTTTGAGAATTGTTAGAGCATTGGTGCTACACACCTTCCATCGGTGTTTAGTTGGTGATAATCGTTACTACATATTGCATAATGTGGCGAATCTAACGATAAAAGGAATTTGTTTATACAATTGAGCTGATGGGAATCAAAATGATAAATATCTGTTCTCCTCGAAGTCTCTTAGCCGAGGTCTCTCTGTCTTGCCTTCCAGTGTAGGACATAAAAACGTGTGTGTCTACTGCCTGGATATTCCAGCTCTGTGGCAAGCACTTCCTCCACTTGCATTACAAGAGAATCATAGTTCTTATTGATGGCTTCGTGGCACCGCATGCAGAAGAAAAGGCGATTTTTATCACATTCCGCAAGTATGCATACGGGACCTTACATCAATCGACCTAGTTTCATATTTGCCCTTATAGTGAAGTAAAGCAAATACATTCTGACCAGATAAAAAATTTCAGTCATATTTTTTATTCAATTTGTTTAATTGAATCGAACATTTTGGAACTTTCATAAAAACTGAAAAATAAAGATGTTAATGCTATAATGTCTTATAGTAAAATATATTTTTATAAATAAGGTATATCTTTTTTATTTTGTCACACTACGACAATTTTTTTTTGGGGGGGGGTAGAAGGAATGTAGTCTGCATGTCCACTTAGTCGGTGTACAAATCCTCTACAAATAGCCTGCTTCCATGATTATTGCCGCTTAAGTCTTCCATCCCTACTATATCATTGGGGAGGTGCTATCAAGGGAACGGATCTCGGCTACCAGACTCCAATTAGTTAAATGTATCTGGCAACGAATAACTAAAAACTGGTAGCGATGCAAAGTATTAAGGTATAAAAGAAGTGTTTGTATTTTTTTTTATCGAGATAGCTTTTTAAATATCAATTATTTACCAAGTTACCTATTTCTAAGGATCTGACCACAACTGGTCATAAAAATGTCTGTCATGTAATATTACTTTAATTACTTCCTGTTGCAGAGAATTAAATGGAATTTAATCTTTAATCGCATCGCACAGTCGTATTTACGGCTGTGATAATAATAAAAACAATAATAGAGATATCTGAGAATATATCGATATTAAAACATTGTTGGGAAACCTGCATGAATAAGGCTTTCTACGAGATTGTATGTACACTTTATTTTATATTTAATGCCTTTATGAAATCGCACGTTTCACAGCAGATCTTGGGAATGAGAAAGCATTCACAGTATCTATATACCCAACCCTGGGATTAAATACTGCTGATCAAATAAGATTAACATGTTTTCCTGATGAGCTTTAGACGTTGACACCTTGTACATTTTCAGTGGAAGAATTTGGTTTTCCTTACATTTTTCGTTAACGCTAAAATGGCTACCAAAAAATTAATATTTTTGTCGCAAAATGAATCCACATCCTACTACTACTACTTCATTACTCAATGGCTTGTTCTCTCTGTTGATTGTTGGTTCTTACGATTAAAAAAATCTTTTTTTTTCTTTGCTGTTAAATGCGTTATGGTTAGTAATATAAAGTATATTATGAAAAAACGGACGATGGCGTGGTGGGGAGGAACGTTCATAGATTTTCTCACTGCCCCTTTTAAAAATAAATACAAGTATGAAATAAACACTTTCATTTTCTAACAGTAGAAGCGTGCTATTGTGAATTCATTAAGCTTTGACATCAAAGTTAAAGAAGCTATATTTCTTAGCTTCCTGTTCACTCCCTCCCGTATTTTCATTCACTTTTTCGTTATATCGCTTATTTTCCCACGATAATAATATAACGACGACCCCATTTACATGATTTGCAAGAGTTTATGTAGAGCATTTTTATAACAAATATCAAATGTTTAACGTACAAGAAGTTAGCGATTTTACGCTTAAAAACTTACATAATTTCCGTTACAATTATTTAATGTTAATTCCTCGTTACTGGAAAAGAAAAAAAAAATAGAATGCTGCTGCCGACACCCCAAATGTTCGAAAGCTGGGGATAAAAGTTAATACACAGG